CCTTTTTTGGGGGAGGGGGCTGGCTCTCATTAGCCCAGGCTAGCCCCAAACCTTCTACCTTGGCCTCTCAGCTGCTAAGATTACAGGCATACCTTAGCCACCACATTTAGTTTATGCAACGCTGGGAACTGAACCTAGAATTTCATGGCATAATAGGCAAGCACTCTGCCAACCAAGCTACAGACCTAGCCAATTGTCTCTGTTTGCGATACAAGAAAAAGCAGTGCTCGGAGGAGTTAAGTAACCAGCTCTGAGTGGCAGACAGAGGGCCACCCAGACCCTCATACCACCATGCTTTGCCTCATAGAGGAGAGACAACCAGGAATCCACGTCTCCCACAGCCAGATGGGAGCGTCTTGGTAGGTGACCCAAAGCTGGACTCTGACTGTCACCACAGGGGAAAGAGGATGCAACCTGGAGGCTGAGGAAGGCGAGCCAAGCAGCTTGTCTGCTGAGCACTAATGGAAAGCTCTCTGGCTCCTTTGCCAAGTCTGCTATTGAGGTGTGAACATGCATTGGCAATTAGCAGCTGGGGTGCAGGCAGATGGAGCATGTGTGAAAGCCTTCACGGTGCCACAAAAACTCAGCTTAAGCAGAACCCCGCTCCTCCCCCCTGCTCCTGCCTGTCTGCTGTCAGGCGGCCAGACCTTCCACAGTGGCTGTCTGCTGCTTGAGGGACAGTTAAGAATGGTGGCGAGCTCTGCTACTTCATGAGCATTTCCTGAGGACCACGCTCCTTCTTGCTGGGTCTGTCTCACATTTTGTCTCATTATATCATTTCATCCCGATGTTGGGCAGACAGTCTATTTTTAAGAATTGGACTTCAACTGAGCATGGCGGCTCTCGACTGTGAGGCGGGGGTCAGGAGTTCAAGGCGGGCCTCACCAGCATAGCAAGATCAAGGCTATGTGAGACCTTGTCTGGAAGCAACACCAGTCACAAACAAAAACTGAAAGCAAAACAAACAAAACGCCCTAAAGATCACCTGCCAGTAGCACTTCCCTTGCTATCTCTCCTGTAAAGGGAGCTGGCTTAACAGCCAGTGTGCCTCTGGTTGAAGAGAAAATGTCAGACCCACTCATTCTGGTTTCCCGGCTTGGCTGGTGTTAGCATGAGGAAATGAACCCTAATGATGCACTATGTGGACCCCGTGGGTCACACTATGGGGACCCTGTGGGTCCTGGACACATTGGAAGGGTGTGTCTCCCTCAGAGGCAGAAACTGAAGGTACTGATCCATTCCCAGGTGAGCACGGTGGTAGCACTGGGGCTGAGTTTTATCTGCAGCCTCCTCCTGGGAGCCCAGAACACAGTTGGCATCCCAGAATAAGCTCCACCACTGGACCAAGCCTGGGACCCATGACCATTAGTCTCACTGTGAACTTCCCTGATGGGCTGTTCAGTCACCTCTGGGTACAAAGGTCTTCTTTCCTGTGGAGATGGAGTATTGAGGTTCTTGAGAACACAGTGTTGGGAGCTCTGGTTCCTCCTTTCCTTTTTGTTTTAAATTGAAAAATTTAGGATATTTTTTTCTGCATGCCTGTATGCACCAGAAGGCATTGGATCCCCTGGAATGAAAGGTGAGGCACCATGTTGGTGCTAGGAACAGAACTCGAATCCATTAGAAGTGCTCTTAACCCCTGAGCCATCTCTCCAGCCCCTTTTATTTGTGAAACAGGGTCTCTCTATGTAGCTCAGCCTAGCTGGAACTCACTATGTAGAGCAAGCTGACCTTGAACTCACAGATGTGTGGGCCCCTAACCTAGCCACTGATAGCACCAATCCCCCATGTGCCTGGGACATAGGCAAGGCATAGAGCCTCACTTTCCACACCGTGTCCCAGTGGTCCTAAGCTGGCTTTCTCTGAGTGCCTCAGGATCATGTCTTCCTAGTGACTTGTTCGTGAGGGCAGGTGGATTTACCTCGGCTGGTATAACCCCAGAACTAACCCTGGGATGAACAGGTGGGGCTGTCAGAGTGATGGAGGAGAACAACATTCAGCGGCCAACTCAAGTGACAGTGACTTATCACCACCCCAGCCTGTTCCTCCTCCTGTTAGAACTTCATCCAGGGGGCGGATTGCTCTGCAGCAGGGGCACCTCCATTACTGTCCCCGTCTGCACTTCCAAGACAAGGCTGATGTTGTGTTGGGGACTGTGGAGGGCGGGTAGCGTCACTCAGATCTTCCATACAAGAGCTTCGGGGTGTTGGGGGGGGTCTGCCTCTGGTGGCCCCTCTGTTTTCTTTCCTTGTGAAACTACAGCACTCCCTACGGGCTCTGCCAGCTGAGGCCGGAGGAGGAAAGGCTGCTACAGTCTCCTGGGTCTCTCTCCCCTGGAGTCTGTCCCCAGGTGCCTTGGTGGATGAATTTGCCTGGCATGTGTTATGCCCTTAAACTTCTGAAGTGAACTGTTTCCTATCTGTCCTCTTTCCCGATAAACGCAAGCCACCTATTAACCGGACATGTCACTAGGAACAGGAGTCCAGTGCATTGGGGATAGGAGCATGCTCAGACAGCAGAGCTGCAAGGTTACCTGGCTCTAGGAGCCGGTCCATCCCCTGCCCTCCCCTCCTCCTCTCCTCCTCTCCTCCTCTCTCCTCCCACCTTCTGTTCTCAGCCTTCCCTCCCACATCTCCACCTCCACCCTTTTAAGCAAGGCTGCTTGGTGACTTTAAATCTATTTCCAGCCGAGCCTGGATATTTACAGGTCATTTAGGTAAACAGTGTGTTCTTTTCTGAAAAGCAAGTTAGAAACTTTGTGGGGCTGTTTTATGGAGGGGCAAGTGGGTGGACACGGAACTGGGTAGCTTGAGGAGTCTTATCTGTCTCTGGGTCGGAGGGACTGTCCCTAACCACCTGGTGCCTGGTTCTAATGCACATGGCACAGGAACTGTGTGCTGGGGTGGCCACCCCACCCAGGAAGTGGTTGGGTCAGGGCTCTGGAGGTGGGTTTGAAAATGACTGTCTCTAGGGATTGAGACCCAGGAAGTGGTGACTGCACTTGGTTTTCAGTGACTAGAGAAGAGGCTGGTGTAGCCAAAAAGGAAGAAAAATACCCCAGAGACAGTATGTTTGTGTATGTGTGTGTACGCGTGCATGCATATATGTGTGTGTATGTGAGTGTATGTATGTGTGATTATGTGTGTGCATGTGTGCATGTGTGTGTGTGTGTATGGTGAAGGACAACACCTCTGGACGCTTAGGTCAGGCTTCTCTCGCCTTGAATAGCTGCTCTTTGTACTTAGTGTCATCTCCCCTGTGAGTCCTCATCTGAGCACACTTTTAAAAATAGTTTTTGAGGTACTAACCCTAAACTCCTGGGCCTCAGGAATGCAGTATCCCTGAGATACCACCCTCAACCTTCTTTTTACTCTGAGGCAGACTCTCACAGAGTCGCCCAGGTTGCCCTTGAAGCCCCCTGGAGCCCAGGCAAGCCCTGGATGCACAGGGCTTCTGCTTCCGCCTCTGGAGTAGCCGGGGCTGCAGACTTCACCTGACTACACATAGGGGATGTGCTCTGTCTCCCCTGACCCTGTCACTCTCTGCGAAGTCACCAGCATCACCAACAACTAGCTTCTTTTCTGCAAGATTCACATATCCATGATTTCTCTCCTTATCACTTTGTGGACCTCACGAAGACCAGGCCTTGGTCCCCAGTGTTGGCTGCACAGAAGGTGTACTTGATGGCTCCCCTGGTCCTTCTAAAAGGATGAGGACGGGTGCCGTGTCCACAGCTGAGTGCTGACCGCCATTAGCTCTCTCTCTGATGGATACAGGTTCTGGCTACATAACAATGTCTCACCTGGGTACATCAGGGCATTGGGACAGGATGGGAACAAGTGTGAGGGAGGTCAGATGTTCTTCATTGTGTGTTTTGGGCAGCGTCTGAGTCTTGATGGGTCTTCTGGTCCTTCCCCGTCTCTTTGGTGTCAAAGACAGGTGCCCAGTCACCTCTCTTTGGTCTTGGGTCACTTGGAGGCAGGACTAGGATTCTGCTCTTGTCTGCTGTGACTCTGGAGAAGTGTCTGACAGGTCCCAGGTGGGGACAGCCATGTGACTCAGACACTGACACTGACTTTAGGTCTGATGCCAAGTCTTCTAGAGTCAAGGTTTTCACACTAGGTGAATGGGGTCAGCATAGAGGCCTGGCTGGGTGAGGCAAGGTCACAAGGTCACCCCAGACTGATGCATCTCTCCCCTAGGTCTGACAACAGCTGCTTTGCAGCCTCAGGTGGCTCACAGACAGTGAGTTCCTGACTAAGAGGACAGAGTGCTGGCCTCTGCTCTAGACCAGTGTTCTGGTGTCCTAGGTGCCCTGTCTTAGTTCAGGTCTGAATCCTCTTTGCTATGTTGGTGGAATCTGGAGCCTCTTGTCCTCACATGAGGTTCTGGGCAGTGGCCAATCTATGCCTCAGACTTCCTTACTCACCAGGGCAGAGCTAAATCTGCAAGGTGAGCTTAGAGAACCCGGTCACAGACCCCCAGCTTCCCCCCACACACCAGGCCGTGTTCTCAGTTTGAGGGTCCCCTCCTGGACAAGTGGCATTTCTTCTCTCATTCTGACTTCAGAAGACTCCTACGCCCTGCTTAGTGCATTCCTAGACTTTCTCACAGCCACCTTTGAGGGGGAGAGGGTATCCCACCACTCGGAGGTGCTGCCTTGAAGTGGCTGGGCTGTCCCGCCTCCTAGGTCAGGAAAGGCGATGTTAATTAGTGGGGAAACTTTCTTGCACCTCTGAGTCACTAGAGCAGGTGTCGGAGGAGCTGTGAAGGGGGGCCCTCGGGGTTTGGATGGCATTTCCACTCTGCCTGCTTGTGGGTATGCTGTGTGGGAGATGGCTGTGTCTCCCACGAGGTAAGGAGAAGCTGTGTGTGTGTGTGTGTGTGTGTGTGTGTGTGTGTGTGTGTGTGTGCTCTAGGGACCCAGGCTCCAGTGTTAAAAATAATCTCTGTGACAGATAGCTTTCCGTTGCTATGACAAAACACCAGAGGACAGCAGCTTGGAGGAGGGAAGGTTTACTTTGGTTTCTGGTTTGAGTCCATGGTCATTCGGCATCATTGCTTCTGGCCCACTTTAAGGTGCAGCATCCCAGTAGGGCATGTTGGCGGAACTCAGCTGCTCCCCTCACTGTAGCCGGAAGCAGAGGGAAACCAAGAGGAAGTTATCTGGGGTGGCATACCCCTCTAGGACACATCCCTGATGATGTACTTCCTCTAACCAGGCCCCACCCCTCTAAATTTCTCCCACTTCCCAGTGGTCATTGAAGCTGTGGATTCATCATGGGTTGGTCCATTGATGGGGTCAGAGCCCTCATGACCCCCTTACCAGAGGCCCCACCTCTGCATGGGAACCAAGTCTTTGATATGTGAACTTCTGGATGACGGTGACATTTCTCATGAGATCAGGCACATTTGGGGTGGTATGGCTCTAGACAGTTGGTGACATTTCGGAGCTAAGCTGTAATGGATGCATTTTCCATCGCTGCTCCCTTTTGCTGTTTCCCCTCTATCCTGCTTTTCAAAAATGTTTTCCGAGCATCTCTTAGGTGCTGACTCTGCATGACACCCTGGGAGGCAGCAGAGAGCCGCTTTAGAGTCCCTGGCAGTATCCACTGAGCTGGCCCTGCAGGAAGTGGACCAGAGCTCAGGATCAGAGAAGGGAAAAAGTGGGGAAGAGGCAGGGGTGTGTGCTCAGGACAGCGAGGCGGTGAAAAGAATGAGTTAGCCCTGCAGTGCTCAGCAGGAAGGCATTCCAGCAGATGGCTCTGCAGGTGGAAAGGCCTGCAATGAGATGGGGCCAGCTGGGTGTGCCTGGAGGGAGATGCAGTGCTCAGCAGGAAGGCATTCCAGCAGATGGCTCTGCAGGTGGAAAGGCCTGCAATGAGATGGGGCCAGCTGGGTGTGCCTGGAGGGAGGCATTAGGGGTTGGTGGGCTGTCTGGACAGGTGTGGAGGTGTGGGGGGGTGGACTGTCTGGACAGGTGTGGAGGTGTGGGAGGGGGTGGTGGGCTGTCTGGACAGGTGTGGAGGTGTGGGGGGTGGTGGACTGTCTGGACAGGTGTGGAGGTGTGGGGGGTGGTGGACTGTCTGGACAGGTGTGGAGGTGTGGGGGGTGGTGGACTGTCTGGACAGGTGTGGAGGTGTGGGAGGGGCGGCAGGCTGTCTGGACAGGTGTGGAGGTGTGGGGGGTGGTGGACTGTCTGGACAGGTGTGGAGGTGTGGGGGGTGGTGGACTGTCTGGACAGGTGTGGAGGTGTGGGGGGTGGTGGACTGTCTGGACAGGTGTGGAGGTGTGGGAGGGGCGGCGGGCTGTCTGGACAGGTGTGGAGGTGTGGGGGGTGGTGGACTGTCTGGACAGGTGTGGAGGTGTGGGGGGTGGTGGACAGTCTGGACAGGTGTCTCGGTTTGAGAGAAGCTGCAGACTGTGTGGCAGCAGGCAGGGATTTGAGTTGCACAGCCTACAGTCAGAACCAGACGACTCAAAAGTGCAGTTTCTGCTGCTGAACAGACAGAAGGCAGCTGGTTGGTATGTGGGATAAAGCAGTCAGGGAAGCTGTTGGACCTGTGAGGCTGGGGACAAGTGTGTGTGCACATGTGTATGTGCATATGTGTAGATGTACATGCACATGTGTTTGTGCATGTATGTATGTACACACGTGTATGTGCGTGTGTATACATGTGCATGCACGTGTGTGCATGTGTGTGAGATGTCCCCTCAGTGCCAGGCACCCAGGACTCAGACACAGTGAGGTGAGGTGGAGTCTTCTAGCTTGGCCTGCGGTCCCTCTTGTTGCACAGATTACGCTTCTCGAGGCCAGGGAGCGAGGCTCCCTCTGAGGGCACAGAGGCTTCCCACACACTCCCCAGACTCCTGCGTCACACCTTCCTGAAGCACTGGCCTACTGTGGGTTTAGACTGAGGCTCAGGTCAGGGGTCTAAAGTGCTTTTTTCTTGTAATATTAAAATAACTTGGAGTAGTCTAAAAATCTCACTTATCTTAAACCATAAAATGAAGTGATTTCACCTTTAAAGTCAGCAGAGCTGACTGGCTTATGGCGTTTCCCCTACTGCGATGGGGGGGAGTCTGAAAAAAGGGCTTTCAAGGGGTAAAAGAGTACTGGGGGGGGTGAGCAGAGGACGGGGTGGAGGTGAGCAGGAAGAAGGATGAAGGACCGGCTTTGGAGCCAGGAGCAGGAGCCTGAACACAGCATCCACGGCGGTCCCCTAAAGGTCTGTCTGCTCCCTTTTCTCCCATCCCACCAGGGCCCCACTAGCCCAGAGACCCCAGCAACATGGTCCTTTCACTTCGGGTACCCTGCTGCTGGCTTCACTTAGAGACACAGCTGGAGAGCCCAACGGAAGGGGTTTCCTTTCAGTGGGCGCGCACTGAAGTCTCGCGTGGCTGCCTGCTGTCTGGATTTTCCACCCCCAGGCAGTCCCCGGTGTGTGCAGGTTTCGCTGGGCGTGTTCTTTACGTATGGAACCTGATGGAGGGAAACAGGAGTGAACCTGGGGTGGGTGAGGTGCTGCTGGCTTTAGCTAGCTTCCCTTTCACTTCTGGGCTTGGGCGGGGTCAGGGGTGGGGGGTGGGGGGATGGAGGGTGGGTGGCGGGGGCTCTCCGGGATGTGGCACAGATCCTTCTTGTGGTGTGGCTCACTCAGGTCAGTCCCAGGCCAGGGCTGGGCTGGAAAGCACTAAAGTCTTTCTCCAGGCTTCAGCGGTGATGGGGGTTGCCTGATGCCGAAGCTGGCAGGCAGGTCAGGGATGTCTTCCTGCCTCAGTTGTTATCCCTGGTGTCTGAAGAGGCACTTCCAAACAAGATGTCACTGTCCTGGGACATGCCGCTGAGCTGCGACTTGGTTTTGATGAGGTACTGGGCCCTGCGGATCAGCACCCGCTCCTGCTCCTGCTTGAGCTCCAGGTAGGAGCGGGAGAACGTGTGGAAGATGGAGGTGACAGGGAAGGCCATGAGCAGGATCCCGCTGAGGATGCTGCTCAGCGCCACCACCTGGCCGGGAGTGCTCCTGGGTACCATGTCTCCGTACCCCACGGTTGTCATGGTGATGACAGCCCACCAGTAGCAAGCGGGGATGCTGGTAAATTCGGGGCTGTCTGCCATCTCGTTCTCAATGACATAGAGCAGCGGGGCAAAGAGGGCAATGGCCACGCACAGGAAAAGCAGCAGAAGCCCGAACTCACGTGTGCAGCGACGGGCTGTGAGCCCCAGGGTCTGCAGCCCCAGTGAGTGTCGAGCCAGGCGCATCACATAGAGGATGCGCAGTGCCCGCAGCACGCGCAGCACCAGCCCAACCTTGTCCAGGTAGCTGTTCCCGGTGCTTGGCTTGCGGCGGCTGGAGGCAGCGCCATCCACCAGCAGCGTGACATAGTATGGCAGGATGGCCACCAGGTCGATGAGGGTCAGCGGACTCCGCAGGAAAGCGAACTTGCTGGGTGCCTGGATGAACCGCAGCAGGAACTCAAGGGAGAACCAGCCAACGCACACGGACTCCACGATGAAGACGTTGTGGCACATCTGGGAACACTGGCCCTGAAGGGAGACAGGGCAGGGGTCACACTAGCAAGCCAGCAGGGAAGGGTGCTCTAGCTGGGGTCGGACACCTTCTCCTGCCTCTCCATGCCACCAGGCTCTGGGGCATCGCTCTAGCTGTTGATCCTGGTCTCCAGATGGACTCCTCTGCCGCCCCCACCCCCACTTCCGTTTTCTGGGCCTTTCCTTTTCCTGGGTTTGGGCAATCTCACTCCTCCAGCGGCTGGCACACCCCTGCCTTGTCTGTGTTTTCCCTCCCCCTTCCCCCTCCCTCCTTTCTTCCTTCCTTTTTGGTTTTTCGAGGCAGGGTTTTTTTTTTTTTTTGTGTGTGTGTGTGTAACAACTCTGGCTGTCCTGGAACTCACTCTGTGGACTAGGCTGGCCTTGAACTCACAGAGATCTGCCTGCCTCTGCCTCCAAGTGCTGGGATTAAAGGCGAGCGCCACCACTGCCCAGTCCTCCCTCCTTTCCCTTTCTGTCTGTCTTTCTACTTCAGAGTATTGACACAGGTGTTCAGAGGATGCAGCCCATGAAACTCCTCAGCCTGCTTTCTACCTCCCGCAGCCCCCGCCAGCCAGCGTCTGTCGAGCACACATCTCCCCAGGGGCTGGAGTCCTGGATAGCTACAGATGTCTCAGCTGCGGACTTTCTAAAGGGTCACAGCTGGGTTCTCAGAGAACCTCCAGTCTGTTTTTCTGAAAATGCACTCCATCCTGGGGATGTGATCTGACCTAAGGGCACTGATGTCTCCAACCTCTGGGAATCCCTCCTGCTCCAGGATTGCACCCCACCTGAGTAGCCCCAGGTGTGTATAGGAGGCCTCTCACACAAGCCCCCATGTATGGTTATGAAGTGGGGTGCTACCAACCCAGGTCCTAGATTACGTGTTCTGTTCTGATCCCTTTACACAGACTTACTTACTCACTGAATTGAATGTTCACAATAGGAGGGAGGGGGGGAAACTGAGGCATGCAGTGCTCTAGTAACTCCCAAGGCTGTGCAGCCAGAGTGGGTGGGATGGGACTCATGTTCAGGCTGTCTAGATCTAGCCCTTTTCTCCTTGTCCCTGGTCCCTATGATCATTGAAAGTAATTTTATTAGTGACATGTTTTCTTAAGACCCTTTAGAAAACTTCAGTGTGTAAGACTATACCAGAAATCCCCTCAGGGTTATAAATGTAATAGTGACGACACATCCTCCACGATATCCATAGATAGAAGGACTTTTCCCTGGCAAGAAAAAGCTACGTCAAATAGCATAAAATACTTAGCACTCGCAGGGTGTCCAGTTGGTGCTCAATAAATGCTTGCTGGCATGACATTTATGTTCATTTCATGCCATCAAACTTCTCTCTCAAATACTTATACTCTGTGTACCTTGTTCCTTCATGCGCGGGGCAGAAGTCACAGCTTGGAGGCCCAGGGGTGTCACAGGTGAGGAGACTCACTAGGAAACCTCCCCCAGGTACTCAGCCCTCACCACGGGCCTTTCTCTGTCATCTGTAAGACAAGCCTACTGTGTATTTTTATATGGGAAACCAAGTCCCACGTGGGGGAGGTGCTGTGTAGGTGTCGTGTACTTCTGTGGGTTGCCCTGGGTCCTCAGCTACTGTGTGGGGCATACAGACAGACTATGGGTTCCATGAAAGCAGACACAGCAAACTGCTCTGTTGCCCCAGTGTTCGCCGCTGGGTGGGTGTGAGAGCACATCCCTACACGGTTACAGGAGGACCTGCAGGGAAGGGTAAATGGAGGCAGAGGGCTGAGCTCCTCCCTCCCCTGGCTCCCATGGGGAGCATACAGCCTGTGTCAGGCTGGCAGTAAATATCTTACATGCAGTTTCTTCCCATGTACAGAGTCATGCTAACCCTGTGGGGACATGCACATACACACAGACTTATGGATAAAAGTTGTTTTCACGACTAAGGAAAAGTCCTTGGGACATTACTGTAGAAGGGAGAGAGGAAGCGGGAGAGAGGACTGGAATGTGCCCAGCTCCGAGGCAGGCAAGTCAGGGTCACACTCACTCACTCATGCAACCTGCACAAGAGGCGGAGGGTCTCCTCTTTGTTGGGTTTGTCTCTAGATCTCACAGGAAAGGAGAGTAGGGGACACAGCTGAGAGCAGGACACTGACTCCTCAGTCACAGCCACCGGACTCTGGGATACTCACATCTTAGCAGGGAGGGAGGCAGAGACGATGCATGCAAACACATCCACACAGTGTCATGTCCAGCGCCACAGAGGCTATTCAACTAGGGCAGTGAGGGGAGGCTGCCCAGGGCAGGTGGTCATGATGAACGGAGGCATAGCCAGTCTTCCGAGTCTCAGAATGTCTTACCTGCTCTTCCTCCTCCCGCAGGCTGGGCAGGGTGCTGACCGACAGGTTGACGGCAGTGACGGTGACAAATAGAACGGACAGGCAGGCAAACACTTTGCCAGGCAGCCCTGAATGTGGCCTCTCCACCATGTCCCGCAGCTTCCTCATACAGCGGCCCAGGCGGCCCTCACTGGTGGACGGACTCTCAGCGTCCTGGTCTTCGCTATCCAGCGGCTCCTCCTCGTCCTCCCTCTCCATCATCTCCGCAAACTCCTCAATTTTCTGCAGGTATCGGCGCTTGCAGCAGCCGTCCAGGTGGTCCTCAGCGATGCCCCAGTACAGCAGCTCCTCCTGGAAGGACAGGGCGCACATCTCCCGGAGCAGCCGCAGCTTGCCGGCTCGCAGGAAGGTGAGGATGGTGCCGAAGGCTCCGGGGTTTCGGTCAAAGAAGAACTCGTTGCAGGTCACATCATAGTCATCACACACACTCAGGATGTCGTCGAAGTTGGTGCAGGCTTTGAGCTGGCCCAGCCGTGTCAGTGGGAACTCATCCAGCGTGGTCCAAGGGAGTGAGTACTTGATGCCACCCACATTGATGATGATCTGTCGCCTGCGGTCCCCAAGTGAGCTGCCCTGGAGCAGGTCGTCCTGCGGTCGCAACCGCTGGGCCCTGCGGTAGAAGACACCCTTGATGGCCTGGGGCTGTGGGAAAAAGGCTGGGAGGAAGGCGGCCTCGGAGGCACAGCTCAGGGCGCTGTAGTCATAGTCCGAGTTGTCTCCTGGTAACAGGGTCATTTTGGGACTTCACATCCCTCTTGGGCCTGGGGAGGAGAAGGTGGAGAGACCCTGGTGAACCCTAAGCCTTAGCTGAGTCCCTCACTGACTGTGGATTCTAAAGACACTTCCTTGGTCTGGGTCCCAAAGGCCACAGGTTGAAACCCTTGATTTTTCGAAATAGAATATGTATTTTTATTTAAAAATTCTACTGTGGGTTTTCAATATTTTTATTTATGTATATGTGCCTACTTGTCTGTACATATGGCATGTGTGAAGGTGCCTAAGGAGGCCAGAAGAGGGTGTTAGGTTCCCTGGAAATGGAGTTATAGGTGGTTGTAAATTGTCATGTAGGTGTTGCTGATTGAATCTTGGTCCTCTGCAAGAGAAACCAGTGCTCTTATGCACCGAGCTATCATTCTAGACCCCCACATACATGTTATATATAATATACTTACAAATTACATACAACATATAAAAACTTACTGTTGTGGTGGGGTGTATGTAGATGCCAGAGGACAGCTTTGTGAACTTGTAGTAGTGGCCACATGCATGTACGTGAGTGCCTGGTATAGGTATAGGTGTGAGATCCCCTAAAACTGGAGTTACAGATGGTTATGAGCTGCCGTGTGGATACTGGGAATTGAATCCAGGCTTCAGGTACAGATGTGACCCCTTTAAGGGAGAGGAAAAACATGGGCTATGAATGTGACTCGGTGAATAAGACTACTTGCTTTGCAAGCATGAAGACCTGAGTTCAAATCCCACCTGCCATATAAAAAGCCAGACATAGAATGTGCCTATAGCTCTCTCTCTCTCTCTCTCTCTCTCTCTCTCTCTCTCTCTCTCTCTGTGCGTGTGTGTGGTGTATGCATGTATGTACACACGCATAGGTATATGTACCGTAATGTGCAGGTGTGTTCAGAGTGTGGAGGTCAGAGGTTAACCTTGGGTGTCATTTCTCAGGAGCTATCCATCTTTTCTTTTCTTTTTTTTTTTTGAGATGGAACTTCACTGGGACGATGTGGGACTTACTGTTTCTAAGCCAGGCTAGCTGACCGGTCCCGGTGTCTGCCTGTCTCCACCTTCCCAGTGCTGGAATTACAGTCACATGCCTCTGCAGTCTCTGCCTTTCTCATGCTCTTTGCAACCCAAGAGAGAGCTACCTACCCAGCAGCTCCTTTCCCTTAAAGGGGTCACTTCTGCACCTGGGATTAAAGGCGTGTACCACGAACGCCCATCGACATCGTCTTCTTTTAAAAAAAATGTTAATTAACATGAATGGGTGTTTTGTTTGCATGTATGTCTACACTGTAAGTGTGCAGTGTCCATGGAGGGGTTGGGATTATGGACTGTTTATGAGCCACCGTGTGGGTGTTAAAAATTGAACCTGGGAGCCTGGCGTTGGTGGCGCATGCCTTTAATCCCAGCACTCCGGAGGTAGAGGTAGGTGGATCTCTGGGAGTTCGAGGCCAGCCTGGTCTACAGAGTGAGTTCCAGGACAGCTTCCAAAAACAATACAGAGAAACCCTGTCTCAAAAAAAAATTGAACCTGGGCCCCCTGGAAGAACAGCCAGTGCTCACAAGAGCTGAGTCATCTCTCTGGCCCTAGAGACACTGGGTTCTGTTGTTGTTTTCAAGGCAGGGTTTCTTTGTGTAGCCCTAGCTGTCCTGAGACTGGCTTGATAGACCATGCAGGTCTTGAACTCAAAGATCTACCAGCCTTTGCCTCCTGAGTGCTGGGATTAAAGGCTTTGCCCACTGCTTGCGGCTTTTAAATATATATATATATTAAACATTTTATTTTACATGTATGGGTGTTTTGCCTGCATGCATGTACATGAGTGCCTGGTATAGGTATAGGGGTGAGATCCCCTAGAACTGGAGTTACAGATGGTTATGAGCTGCTGTGTGGATACTGGGAATTGAATCCAGGCTCTCTGAAAGAGGAAGCAGTGCTTTTAACTGCTGAGATACCTCTCCAGTCCACAGAGACACCGTCTTAATAAGCAAACCCAAACAGTTGAGGCTGTAGCTCAAGTGGCAGAGTGCCAGCCTCACGTGAGGGAAGCCCTGGGTTATGCCCGGCTTTGAAGAAACTGGGCATGACGGCACTCCCCGAAAACCTGGACCTGGGGTGGGGGTGGAGGCAGGAGAGTTGTATGTTTAAGACTGTTCTTCATCAATGGGAACTGAAGTTCCTAGAGGGAGAGAAAAAGACAGAGAGACAGAAACAGAGGGGGCGGGGAGGCTGTACCTGTGCTAAATATTCTATGAGGCGAAATGACTGAACTTGGAAGATTATGGATCGTTAAAATGTTGCAGACCAGAACCAAATTAATCTTGGGTTATTTTTAGTTCCTCTGAAAGCCATTCATTGCCCACACCCGTGTCTGATCTAATCTCCTTGTGACCAGGGAGCCCTTAGAATCTATTAGACCACAAGATTTGTTGAGATCCACCTACCTGTGGCCCCCACCACTGTATTTGGTAAATACTTTGATTTATCAGTGGTAAATCATTGGTAATTAGTTGGTAAACCGTTTGGTAAAAATTATCATGGGCAAACATTTGATGTCTTTGTCCTGTAACTAATAAGATCTCGCATAACCACTTGCATAGTGGAACATCCTATTTGGGGGAAATGTCAATCTGTTTTCCTAGGCCATGACCACTAAGATTAGGCCCCAGAACAAACTGTTCCTTCTTCCTTTTGGAGGCAAGAGAACTGGTTTTTGTTGTTTTGTTTTGTTTTGAGGCAGGGTTTCTCTGTGTAGTCCTGGCTGTCCTGGAGCTCTTTCTGTAGCCCTGGCTGTCCTGGAGCTCTTTCTGTAGCCCTGGCTGTCCTGGAGCTCTTTCTGTAGCCCTGGCTGTCCTCAAGCTCAGAGATTTGCATTGACACTACATAGCAAAGTAGAGGCCAGTCCGAGTTACAGGAGACCCATTTCAAAACCAAACCAAATAAAACCATCGCTCCTTCCAATTCCTGAAGGAAGCCAGGGGTGCCGGTGAACAGATCATTTCCAGCATCAGAGAATTCAGTGGGGCTTGGGATACTCAGGGAACTCCCTCCCCTGCAGGGATGCCCAGCAGGAACCCAGGCAGGGAGGGGGCTCACTTCAAGAGGCCTCACTGCATAGGAGCTCCTTGACAGGGGCTTAGTGTCACTCCACTCTCTTTGGGGAAGGCTGCTGTAGCTTCGCAGACGGGGTTTTGGGAAGCGAGGCTACACCTTTCTGAAGTCAAATGACTGCCTTTTAGAGCGGCTGGGAGCTTTTCACTTCTTCTAAAATTGGAACCCATGTCCTCGGGCTGAGCCTGCCGGGATCCCTCAGAGGCGTGGGAACAATCCCTTTTAGCTGCTCAGTAGCGCCGCGCTTCTCAGCTCTGCCTCTTTCTTCCTGTGTCACCACGGGAAAGAGGAAAGCCTGCTCTACTTGGCTGGAACAGCCTGGAAGCAGGGGAGCTTCCTCAGAGGCTCACCCATGAGTCCTCTCTCCTCCGGGAGTCTCCCTTGCACTCCCTACTTGCCCTCGGGCACAGGCCCCCCATTAGCACCTCCTTGGGTCCCCTGCTCACAGTGGGATTCTCGAATGGAGTGTCTCAGCAGGATGAGAAGGTGGTCTGTGAGATATGGTTTCCTCCAAGCTCACTGGGAGGAGGGTCAGCACCTCCTGAGCTGCTGCGGGAGGATCACATAGACTTCTCCCAGGCTGTGGTTCCACTGATACCTAATCTGATGGGCACAGGGGGACGGCTGGCATTTATAGACTTCACAGTTAAGCACATTCATCAAACAGGCTCCCAGCCAGCTTCCTGGACACAAATGCTGCTTTTTCCAGCCCAATCCCTCTCAAGGGTCATGTCTGTCCTTTCAGTGAGTCACTTATGCAAAGACTGTGTGTGTGTGTGCGTGTGTGTGTGTGTGTGTGTGTGTGTGTGTGTGTGTGTGTGTGAGAGAGAGAGAGAGAGAGAGAGAGAGAGAGAGAGAGAGAGAGAGAGAGAGAGAGAGAGAGAGAGGCAGACGCTTTTTGGGGGAGTCATGCATTCCTTCCTGAACATTCTCATATATTAGATGTTATGCTGGGTTTGTGGCTACATCAGACAGCAACCTGGATCCTGCCTCTGTCCTCATGGAGCTGGTCCACAGAGGGACACGGTTTCTGTGTAAGTTCACCAGTGACTTCAGGGCATAGCAACTGCTGTGATGAGTCAGAGCTGGTGATGGTGGAGGGTGACTAAGGGGTGGCAACATTATCTGGAGGAGTGGGGTGGGTCTCCTGGGAGGAGGGGACATAGGGCGGGGCCTTGTGCATTCGAAGCAGTCAGTCTTGTGATTCTTGGGGTTGGGTACTCTGGGTTTAAGAAACAGCCAGGGTTGCTCTGTCTTGCAAGTGGGCTTGGATGGTCAAGGCTGAAGGTCAGGCTGAGAGGTTGGGCAGATAAGGAGCAGGAGGCAGGAGATGCATGTGTAGGTCGCAGGGAGCAGCTTAGGCTTATTCTATGTGCGGCAGGGCTTTGTGGGCAGGGTCAGGGATGGGCTTGGGGGCAGGAGACTACAGTGGGAAGATCAAGGTTAGGACAAGTGGAGGGGGCTGGGGGCTGGCATGGCTTCAGTGGGCTTGGAGGCAGAGCAGGCAAAACTTAGAGGGCCTGGGATAAGGAGGGTGATTCCAGAGGTGACACTTACAGAGGCGACCGGTAGGTGGCGCTGAGACAGGCGTGAATGAGAAGGCGCCTCTGACAACAAACGGTGTGGATGGACAGGGGAGGCTGTGACTTAAGAGTAGGAGACAGCAGTGTGCAGCATCTCACAGGTAGGTGTCAGAGCGGCAGAAGAGACCTGGTCAGTGTGTGCTCTGATGAGTGTGTGAGCTGGCAGAGGTGGGAGCCTGACCTGGGTATGAGCTCAGCACCAGAGCTCAGCGCGCTACTGAAGTGGCCCCCACATCAGACGGGAGGGGTCAGTGTAGATGGGCATCACAGGGGTCATACACTGGGAAGATGAGAGTCACCCTAGGCACACGCATCCAATTCCTGGACCCAGTGAGCGCCCTACAACCAGAAGAGCCTGAGGCTGCACATGAAGAAAGGCTGCTAAGGGTCCCAACCTGTGGGCTACCAGTGGCTATGAAGACAGGGGAGGAGCTGGGAGCAGGGAGTGCAGGCTGTCCCCGGAGGTTAAGACAGGCAAGTCAAGCACTTTCTGAACAATCCGAAAGGGGCATGATCTTGCCAGCCCCCAGTTTTAGCCATCAGACCCCCTTTAAACACATGGTTTCCAGGGCCAGAAGGCGTCAGTGTGGATTTTCTTAAACCATTCAGTTTGAGGCTATCAGAATGTAGAATAGCCAGGAGTACGCCTTTAACCCCAGCATTCAGGAGGCAGAGGCAGGCAGATCTCTGAGAATTTAAGGCCTGCCTAGTGAGTTCTAGGCCAGCCAGGATTACATTGTAAGACCTTGTCAAAGAAGAAGAGGAAGAGGGGGAGGAGTAAATATAGGTGATGACTGAATCTGGGCTGAGCTTCCTTCTGGGGGGGCAACCAGTTGATTTGCTTACTTGGGGTTAGGACGAGAACAGAAGAGCCCATTAGCTTTGAAATAGGCTGGTTGCTCTCTGACTTTGGGCTTCTGCATCTATAAAATGGAGATACGAACACTTCCTGTCCACTTGAATTACGGTAAAGCCGATGACATGAGAGATGTCCCTGACTCAGTGCCTGGTCAACAGACAGATACCTGCCGTTTAGCCTTAGCCCTGAGAAGTGCCTATCACCCATCTTCGACCACCAGCCAAGGGCATCTCCTGTGAACTGCCCTGCCAGGGTCTGAACTCACGATTTGACTCCGAGGCCCAGGGCTGGAGGGAGTGGTGTCTGGCCAGTCTTAGAGGAGGTCACCCTGCACTTCTAGGGACATTAAGGAATGCTGTTCCCCTGTGGCTCTAGAGCCCTGTTCCAGCGTCTGTTTCCCGGTTGTAGGGCCACAGAGGTGACAGGAGACACGGACACAACAAATTATCCACCTTTAAATCTTTGATTCGGGGGTCTGCTTCTCGGAAACCTGGTCTCAGGGATGAAGAAGACACAAGAATGCCACCCCGTTCACTTGTGGCAGTGGGAAGTCCCTGGTGTCCATCCCCAGGGACCAGCCGGGCGAGTCTTGGTAGAGGAAGACAGAGGAGACAATGACTGTGGTCTGTGTGGGATCGGAGGCACACCTGGGTCTCTAAAACATAAGCCGAGTGAGAAAAGCAGCAGGAGCTCACAGCATCATGCTATTTATGCGAAAGAACACATTACATAGACTAGGACGCAAACACAGAAGGATCTGTGTGCTGCGTGGAGGTGCCTGGAGGGAGTGGAAGGAGACCGAGCCTGGGGATTGGAAGGGACTAGAAGACGGCCCAGCTCTGGTCAAGGAGGAAGCATGCTAGGCGGTGAGCAGGGTGGGTCCCACAACTCGGGGTTACCTGTGTGACAACAGACAAAAAGCACAAGCCCCATAAAACTTCCAGTGTGGGAATGGTCTTGGGTCCTCACCAGGAACACCAGAGCATGGTGTCCCCCCCCTCCCGCCACCCCAGCCCGGAGATTTCCTCGGCCTTGGAACCAGGCTGTCAGGCTGCTTCAGCAGCTGCCATCATATTAAAGTCCCAAGGAGAAGTGGGAGAGAGGGCTCCCTAAATGCCTGGGGAACCCAGGGCTGCGTGGAACCTCCTGCCAAACTGCTTGGTTTTCCTGGACATTCTAAGGCTGCACTGCAGATGTAGAGACCCTCCCTTTCTCTCTGTCAGTCATCATCTCCCTTCAGGATGCCTCCATCCTATTCTCCAGGAGTCCAAAGACCCAAGGCAAGCCCGAGGCTGTTTCTTGTCCTTTCTCCTGGAAGAAAAATAGCACTGCTGGAGCTGTGACCGAGGCCCAGCAAGTGTTTCCAAAGACAAACATTCATTCAGAGGGAGGCTTCTAAGTAGCAGAGAGCCCACCGTGGGCTCAAGGCATGAGCCCAAGGGGTGGGGTCTGGATCTGGGGAGGGAGTAGCGGAATGGACAAAATGGCTAACCATGGCCTCTGCTCCTGTGAAAGACTCTGCACTCAAGCCAGGCATCCACATTACAGCTCTTCTTCTGCCCCTTAAATGAGAGAATGTCATGCAGAGCTCCGAGGGCCGCTGAGTGGAGGTTTCTGTGTCCTTCACCTGATTTGTCCTGTGGTCCTCACATGTGTTGATTCTGACCCCTAAGATCCCTCCTGGGGCTGTTCCAGAAGCTGCTGGTCTGTCCTTTGCTTGTTTAGCTCATCCCTTCTGAAGGGCTCTTGGCATTTTTTTTTCAGAGTAGATGCAGAGTGCTAGACCTCACCTGGCCCCAAACAGTGACACTCTAGACTTTTCTCCATGGCACACTCACTAAGTGCCAAGGTGTGACACTGGAGCCCTAACTCCAGGTGCTTGCATTCTTTTCTAAAAGTCAAGATGGGGAAACTGAGGCTCACTGAAGCAAGCACCCATGACTGCAAGTAAGGATAGCAATTTAGTCGGTGGGACTATAGACCAGGCACCTTGGATCCCTGCATTCTGTTGTCCTCATGGGGACTGGGACGGATGTCATTTCTGCCAGCTGCCGGTGTCAGGGATGGACCTCATCTCTGTTTCTACAGTACAAGCTTTGGAAGGGTCTGGGGGATAGGGAGAAGCAGGTGACTGGAGGTGAGAATGGTGTCATCTTAGTGTTTACACTGGATCAGGGTAGGAAACCAACAGTCCCTGATTTTCTTGAGCTCAGGGTCACCACTGTGGCCTCCAGAGATGTGACCATGATTGCAGGGGTTACAGTGAGACCTGGTCATTAGCCGAGGAACGAAAGAGGCCTCTAGGAGCTGGAGAAGGTATGGGGTGTGGATTCTCCCCAGAAGATGCATGAATTTTACCCAGTGAGACATGCTTCTTACCTTCCCAAAACTCTGTTGATAAACGCTCATGTATGAAAGCAGAAACCTAACACAGACCCTTAGGAAAATTTCTAGAAGTTAGAGATTCGTTTCTAAAGCTCCCAGTGTCTTTGTTTTGGCTTCTGGACTGTGAGTAGGGACTTGAGGCGCCATTCCATCTCTACCTTGGCTCTCCGGTGAGCCTCATCTGTCAGGATTAGGGTTCCTGGTTGGGCTGACTCAGGGGTTGGTCATGCTGCATTCACCCCCAATTAAATTGTTAATTATAATAGATCCAGCTATTAGCCTGCTCTGGTCCTTGCATGCTGCCCCATCCCCCAGCAATGATGCATGTGGAAGTCTGTCTTTGACACTTGTCATCCATCGTCCCCACAGACTCAGCTTTGCCTCCTGGGAGGGGGTTCAAAGTCCCTGGAGGATTACACGCTGGGAGGTGGGTCCCTGTCTCCATGCCTCGCCTGAACCACAATAAGGAAAAGATCCTCTCCCCAGCATTAAGCGGGCAGGCTGCCTGTTTAGCCACCTGGCTCTGCTGTCAGCAAAACGGCTCCTGGTGTACACCTGTCTTTTACCAGGAGCTTTTTAGGATTGGGGCCAGGACACCTTTTCCACTAGCCTCTCAGCCTCTCTCTCTCTCTCTCTCTCTCTCTCTCTCTCTCTCTCTCTCTCTCTCTCTCTCTCTCTCTCTCTCTCTCTCTCTCTCTCTCTCTCTCTCTCTCTCTCTCTCTCTCTCTCTCTCTCTCTCTCTCTCTCTCTCTCTCTCTCTCTCTCTCTCTCTCTCTCTCTCTCTCTCTCCCTCTCTCTCTCTCTGTGTGTGTGTGTGTACGCACGTACCTAGGGGACAATCTTGCGTGTTGTTTCTGTCACTGTCCACTTGTTTTTGAGGCAGGGCCTCTCTCTCCTGGGCTGGGAGACAACCGAGGTTTGGAGACCATCTGTCATTGAACCCTGCCTCCCCAGGCCTGGGACCTATGACCATTTTTGTTGTTGTTGCTGTTCTTGGTTTTGCTTCTGGGGATCAAATTCAGTTCCTCCAGCTTATCTACTGACCTAGCCGTCTTCCATTTTTGCTTCTTTGTGGTTAGAAATTGGGGAGCATGGGCTAAAACAGAGAAGCCATGGGGACCTGGGGAAGTGCCAGGAAGAGAGCTGCTCGCAGGGCTCCGTAGGAAGGAGGATACACTGTAACTGTCTGCTGGGCCAGTGCAGGCCTGAGAACTTGAGGCAGATTCGCATGCTGACTCTGTTCACTCAGAACAGTCTGCCAGGTAAACAGACCGGGCTTTCGACAGCCTCCTTCATCCCCTTCTGTTTTTTAAAAAATTAATTCTATATAGATCATATTACCAGCCACCATTTCCCTGGGTGGGACTGAAGGGAGGGGCTCCCTTTCTGGGTTTAGGGAACCAACCCAGAGTGGATTCTTGGAGAAGGGTCCTCACAGAGCACCCCCTCCACCCCGGTGTTCAGGAAACATTTTGTCCTTTCTGTCCCCTGGGGCAGGTGGCTCACCTCTTGCCAGAGCTCAGCCACCTACGCAGTACAGAGAACTGAAGGTGATTCCCAGGTCTGCCTCCTCAGGCTGCAGGGTGCTCATAGCCTGGGTCCTCCAACCTGAGCCTTTCCTCCTGGGTCCTCTGTGGGGAAAGGTTCAGGGTGTCTTGTTTTCCATGTGCTGGTCCCCTGTGGGTTTGGAGTGTCCCATGGCAGACATTTTTCCACTGGAATGGGTTGGCTCAGAACTGGGCTGGTAAGAGTAGTCCCCTGGGGCCATGCCTCCATGCCTGGCTTGACTTCCCTCCCTCTCCACCCAGCAGGTACCTTGGCAAAGTCACAAAAGCTTAAAGACCCATAGGTAGATAAACCCACCTCTTTCTCACCCCGCTGCCTTAATCTCCAGGGCACCACTTAAGCTGGAGGTGTGTTTACCAGCGAGACACTCTACAGTGACTCACAGAGTGTGGTCACAGGTGTGTGTGGGGTGGGGGTGTCAAACAGACCCTAGTGAATATGTACCCAGACTTACAGAGGCACTTCCTCCCTTCTCCAGTCCCCGCCCCCTCCTCTCGCCTTCCTCTGCACTTAGCTCAGGTGTCACCGAAGGGACCAGAATATGCCTCCCACCTATCATCTGCTTGGGGAACTCTGGTGCCTAGCACCCCTTAAGAGCATCCAAATTGCAAGTGGTTAAGAAAATGCATGCTGAACGGATGGGTGGCTTAGCTCATGAATCCCATCACTAGGAGGCTGTGTTCACCCAACGTCAGATGAACCTCCTCAGCCCCAACACCCCCACCACACACACAGCTTTTAAAAGCCCAGCTCTTCCTTTCCAGGGACCACCCCGCTCCCTATTAAGAACGAACGAGTGCATTATGTACCAACGGCATATCTATACACATGGACTGCTGCCACTGGCCACCCTGGCAAGCTGTGACCTTCCAAGGCAGGGCCTGAATCTCAACCTTTACCTAAACCCTAGGAGGGCTGGCTGCCCCCATCTTGTCCGTCTCCACCTTGGTCACTGTTCAATACAGGCTTGTTGAAAAAACGTGAATGAATGAAGGAATGTTGAGTACTTGGTGTAGTTAGCTGCCCACAGCAGGTGCTCAGCCAATTTTGATACAACTCAGGAAATGAACGAATTTGTTTCTTTTCCATCCACACCCAAAAACTATAAGCAAAGCCGGGCCACTCAGGCACGGGTACCCTGAGGCTAAGGAGACCACTAACTTCCCTACTGGATGTTGAGGCCCATGACCATTGAACTGTTTCCAGGGTCTTGCCATGGACCATGGACGGACCAAGTAGGCGGTCCATAAGCCTTCACTGACTTCATAACTAATGAATGACTTAATGAGGCCCACTGGTGGGGTGCTGCATTCCCTGCCTACAGATAGTGAACCAGCAAGTGAAAGACGCCCCTGCATCCCAACTCCTCCCGGGGTACCCCAAGAATCCAGCATGCAAAGTCAGGACGCTCCAGGGTGCCCCGCCAGAGAGCGCACTTTGCGTCCCCGAAACCCTTCGAGAGGATCCGGGACTGGACCAAACCCGGGCCGCGTGGGTGCATCTCGCACGGCCCGGCGGCCTCTCCCGGGATGCTAGGCATTCTAAGGGGGCACCGGGGCCGCCGCCACGTGCAGAGCCCGGAGCGCTGCAGCTTGCAGGAACAGGGTCCCGCCAGGGAGCAGCCCGCGAAGTTCCCACCTTAAGTTCCCGTCACAGCGTCGCCGCCTTGGTGCTGACCGGGCCGCAGCTCGGTCCCCCGGTGCAGCGATGCCGGGGTGAGGACGCGAGAGGGGGTAGCAGGTGGCGCGTGGCGCCCACTTGGCCTCCGGTGCTGCTGGCAAACTTTGGCCCTGGGGCCGCCAGACTGCACGCTCCGACCCCGGCTGTCCCGCCTCCTCCTCCTGGTGTCCGCTGGGCTGGGAGTGCGCCGGCAACGCGGCAAAGCAGCCGCTGAGGGAGGTGGCGGGGCAGGAGGCGGGACGGAGGGAGGGGACTGCGTACAGGGCGGAGAGAGGGGCGGGTGGTGGGGTGGGGTGCGGGGCGGGGATGGAGTCTTCGAGGTGGGACCCCACCTCAGAGATGCCACGCACCTTGGCCGGACCGGAGCCCACTTGGGTGCTGGATTCTGGCGGAACGCAGCGCCCTGCTCTCTTCATTCTGCCCTCTTCTCCCTGTCCTGCGCCCCTCAGGCCTCTGTCTGTCCGTGGTGACCTCTAAGCCCCTGCTCTCCTCCCGGGGCTCCCGCCTCTCCAGTCGCTCATTTTCGCGGTGATTGTGGGACATTCATGCTGCCCTTCCACCCGAGGCTCAATGAGTGCCAGGACCTGAGCCTCATTACCCACGCGTGTCTTTATCGTGGGAATGCTATGTGCCCTGTCTTGTGTCCTCAGATGGTCCAAGGGCACACGTCGACCTTTGGCCAAACTGCCGCGGACACTGTCCGCAAGGGTCATGTTCGGAGGGTACTTCGTACTTCTTGCGTGTCAGCCCAAGAGCCCCATGCCGCACTCGACCTACACATTGCTTTCCAGGGGCCACACCAGCCATATCCAGTGCCCTCCCCACTGGTGGCCGTGGGCCCTCCCTCCCCCTGTGACCTCAAGGCCTGTACCATCTTTGCGGTGTCACCATAGTGACCCTATGCTCTAGTTGCCCACTGTCCCAGGTGGACTCTGGTGCTGGGGCCCGGTCCTGCAGTCCCTGGGTCCTGTACTTGGTAGCCTGGGGAGGGCAGGGTCGACTCCGGAGGTCTCTGAGTTGGTACAAGTTCCAGCAGGCATTGGGGTTATGTGGGGGCTGCCTGAGAGGAGAGAGAGCCACTCGCAGAGCAGGCATCTTGGGGCTCCTGATTGCTACTGCCCTTTCTTCTCTGTCGGGGAAGCAGGAGGGACACAGACCATGCTCACGATTGGGGCTCCCATTCCTTCTGGGGTGAGGCTTGGCCCTGGGACTTCAGCTTCGGGTTCACGCAGTAGGTGGGTGAAGACAGATGGCAGAGACAGAGAGTGAGCCAAGGACCTGCCCCAAGAACTCCCCAGCTTCTGCAGAGGCCACACCAGGAGAGACAGGGCTGGGGATTGCAGGAGTAGGGTGAGGTCCAGAGAGGAGAGACTCAAAAGATGGGACTCCTGAGGAGGAGCCAGAACACGGGGCCATGAGTGGAGAGAAATGCGGCTTTGGAAGATTTTTCAAAGGAACCCCGCTCAGGGACAAAGGTTTCTGAGTTGCAGAGAGACCTGGAGGCAGTGTGCTGGAGAGACATAATGAGGCCAGCATAAAGATTCCTAGCTGTGTGGACCCTGGTGGCCATTGGTCCTGGGTCCCATGTTGAGAGCATGGCTGATCCTTGGTGCTGTATCAGGCCCTTGCCTTCTTTTTTTTTTTAATTTCATTTAACTTTATTTTATGTGCATTAGTGTGAGGCTGTTGGATCCCCTGGAAGTGGAGTTACAGACAGCAGTTGTGAGCTGCCATGTGGGTGCTGGGATGTGAACCCAGGTCATCTGGAAGAGCAGCTACTGCTCTTAGCCACTGAGCCATTGTTCCAGCCCCAGCCCCTGCTTTCTTGAACAGAAGGACCCGGGCTTCAGTCTTTGTTGCTTTCACCTGAATCTCAGGCTCCACCAGAGCAAGGGCTGTGCTGACTTCCTTCTGGCTGCAGCTTTCACACTGCTGGACTGAACAGTACTGTTGGAGGGACCCAGGACAGTCCTATGACAGAACTGATCACCTCAGCAAGTCAACTGCTGTCCCTATGGAGGACCACAGGACCAGGATGTGAGTGGAAGTTAAAGCCTTCCTGTGGGCTGAATCCTCTGGAGAATTCTTCAAATCCGGTAGACCCTGCTTGCAGTCCTCTAACAAGTTACCTGGTCTGAGATTTCGATGACTTCAGTCCAGCCCAGCCCCACCTGACCTCAGAACTCACCAGAAATACTTCCATGGGTTGTGAGGCTCAAGCTAGCAACTTCACGTCTATCTGAAGGAAGAGGGATTATGCCTGTGGCCTGGGCCTATCAGAGCACCAGGCACCTGAGTCTGGTGGAGGGTGACTTGCAGAGAGGACCCAGAACAGCAGGGCCAGACTCCCTCCCTCCCCACCACCCCCACATAGTCTCAGACCCAGGCTGTTCTCAGAGGTGAATTTATGATCTTATCCCCTGTTGTGCCTCTCCAAGTCCAATAAAAGTCTTCTAAATCCTTTTAAGGAATCTCTCTTTGCAGTCCCCTCCCTCCTGGGGCGCCTTCCAGATCCTCGGTCCCTCCTATTTCCCTTACCCTCCCAAGAAGCATCTCTGCCCACGCTGTCCCGTGGAGAAAGGGTGTTGCTGCTGCTGGAGAAGGCTTTCTGAAAAGAGGAGGCCCACTTGATCAGTAGGTGGGCTATGGCCCACAGCCCTGCTTTATTTGTTTCTACTGGGTTAAGTTTTAAGAATTTTTTTTTGAAATTGATTGGCAACATTAAGAAAAAAACTTGGTTTAATATGACATTTTTTCTTTTGAAAAGCTGACATATCTGGCTAGCATTCTTTTTTTTTTATTTTTATTCTTTGGAGAAAGGGTTTCTTGCGACCCAAACTGGCCTTGAACTTGTTATATAGCTAAGGACTTCTGTCACCGCCTTCCAAGTGCTAGGATTACAGATGTGCACCACTATCACAATGCTTGTTTTTTTTTTAATTAAATTAAAAGAGAAAGATTATTGAGACAGGGTTTCTTGAAGGCTAGGCTGACCTTGAACTTGATACGTGTCTGAGGATGAACTTGAACTCTTGATCTTCTTGCCTGCTTCTCCAGCATCTTTAAGGAAGCAATGATAGTGAGGGTTAGAGTTTGTTTCTCAGCCTACATTTAAGATACGGTCCCACCTCTAGGGGCCAGAGCTGGTGTCGTCACCCTGGCAAATTGCCTAGAGCCACATGGTAGATGGCAAAGCCAGATCTGAAGCCAGGAAAATGTGGCCCCCGAAGCCTAGACTCACACTGACACCAGACATCTCCTGGCTCCTCCAGGCAGGAGGAGATATGTTAGTGCTGGCTCAGGACAAACCTTAAAAGGGAGCTGCTGTCGGCCAGTTAAGAATGTTTTCCTTCTTATCCACTAGCCACTGTCAGCGAGTCTCCAAGTCTGGGCTGTTCTCCCAAGGCAGCAAAGGTTATCTACAGCTGTCTGAAGTTCTTATCTGTCCGCCTGACATGAAAAGGCTTAGTGTTGTGAGTCCTAAGAGGCTAGAGCCTAAGACCCCAAGGGTCTTATTCAGGGACATGATGGGTGTGGCTCGGCTGTAAGGAAAAGACCGGCTGCTGAGTCCAGTCGGGGAGAAGGAGGGCAAGGTACCTTTCTCTCCGGGAGACCCTGTCTTCTGGTCCCTCTTCCCCCTCTCTGTGCCTCTGATTCTTGCCAGTCCTGTTCCTCTACCCTAAGTCAGCATCCCATGGATTTCCTTTGTCATCTTGAGACCCTCGTGCAGGTCAGGAGTAGGTGTGTGCCTTCAGTTTTTAAAAACTTGATATTTAGCACATCATGGATTATTTTTGACATTGATTTTAATATTTTAAAATATTGTATCAAGCTGGATAGTGGTGGCGCACTCCTTTAATCCCAGCAGTCAGGAGGCAGAGGCAGGCAGATCTCTGAGTTCCAGGCCAGCCTAGTCTACAGAGTGAGTTCCAGGACAGTCAAAGCTACACAGAGAAACCCTGCTTTGGAAGAAGTAAGCAAATGAAAATATTGTATCGAGATGTTACTGGTTCTCCTTAACACATTCTTTTGAAGGGAATGAAGTCATTTTGTTCCATTGCTTCACTCATTCCAGTTCCCTGGAGGCTTTTGCTTTTTTTTTTTTTTTTTTTTTTCCTTGAGTCCTGACTGGCCTAGAGCTCCCTATGTAGTCCACTGGCCTGAAATTCACAGAGATTTGCCTGCCTCTGCCTCTGGAGTTCTGGGATTAAAGGGGTGTGCCACCATGCCCAGCCCTCTTTACACACACACACACACACACACACACACACACACACACACTCACACTCACACGGCTGAAGAGATAGGTCATTGGCAGAGGATCCGAGTTCAGTTCCCATCACCCACACAACCATGTATAACTCCAGTTTCAGGAAATCTGACGCCTTCTTCAGGCGTCTACAGGTACTGGATGCACGTGGTACCCAGGCAAAGCAGCCATACACATAAAAGTCAGCCTTGACAAAGTATTCTCCTTCTCATTTATGCTATGTACACGTGTTCACGTGAGTGCAGGCACCCACAAAGCCAGAGGAGGGCATCGGATCCCCTGGAGCTGGGCTTGCAGGCAATCGCGAGTTCCTTGATTGTGGGAACTAGGAAACCAGCCGAGGCACTCAGCAAGGGCAGCCAGCCGGCTCCCTAGTCCCTGCTTGCTTCCTCGAAAGGAACTCTGTATCCAGGCGTGGCGGTCAGGCCTTTAATCCCTGCACTGGGTATTTTGGGATAGGAGGCCATCTTGGTCTACATAGGGAGTTCCAGGCTAGCAGGACTACACAGAGAGAACCCCCGCCTCCCCCACCCCCACAACTGAGACAAATGACAAACAGGCAAAGAAGCCTGGGTTGGATGTAGGAGAGCGAGTTCAGCTTTAGTCTGTGCCCTCACACACAGCTCCAACAGCACGTGAGCCTTACAGGGAAGGGTAACCTCTGACTCTGGTTCTGGAATGATCCAAGACGCCCACTAGCTGAGTCTCTCTGGGCCTTGCTGACCCCAGCTGTGTAGGGATGCCCCTTGTAGTTTTTTTGCCTGGCACCCCACACGAGATGTCACTCCATACAGACAGAGTCCCTACAGCTGTTCATTTCCCTCCCTTGGCAGCATTCAGTTTGGGAGGGGTGGCATGGTCCTGCTCTTTGACGTCCTGTTCTTTGTCCCTTGGTTTCTCCCCAGAGATTATCTGACAGGCATCCCTTGGGGACCTCTAACACAGCA